CAGTGCAGGGCCCTTTACATTGAATGCATTCATTCATTTTAGGGTCACTGAATATGGGCCGGAGTCAGCCAAGGTCATGTTTGCCTTGGGAGGGTGGCGGGTAGGTCGAACCTTTACACTGAAGAGGAGGCATTGTAGAACAAACAGCCAGCTGACGGGGGGGATTGGCGCGGGTCAGCTGGCTGCAGGTGGAGTCTTCCTCGTTCGCTCGCGGCTTCGCGCGGCCTGAGCTGCCGCCACCCGTCCCGGACTGCAGTGTCTTGGCGAAGCGAACAATAGGGTTTCTCCGGGAAAACCCACAACCCCCATTGGCTTTCGGAGGCTTTTCAGGGACACCCCGGGTTTTGTGGGGCGAGAATACACACCAAGCGCCGTGTACAGCAATTCCTGAATTGAGAGTTGCACATTGGAGTGGGCAAAACAAAGTAAAAGCCATCATAGGGTAGCCCCCTCTTGGAAACATGGGTTTCCTGGCGAACTAATTTTCGACCATACAAGGGGATTTGGTTGTTCGCGAACCCACCAAGGTTACTTTATTTTTTAGGGCTTGCTTCTATCAATAAATTGCATGCCTTCTTTACGCGGGCGAGGAGGGGCTGTACAAGCTTACCGACTCGGCAACAGTTACCCTAATTTTGCGGAACGTTCACCCCGAAACTGGCGGTACATTGTGAGCAAACTAAGAGGAAATTGTGTGTATATCGTGGGAAATATTAGGAGACAATTTAGCAAATTCGGAGTAATTTGGGAGAAATGTTGGGAGTAATTTACCCCCAATTTTGTGGGTAGTTTACCCCAAAATTTGTTGGTTTACCCCCAATTTTGTCGGTAATTTTCGTGTGGGTAATTTACCCCCCCAATTTTGTCGGTAATTTACCCGCCGGGTAATTTACCCCCAATTTTGAGGTAGTTTACCCCAAGTTTGGGACTGGTTATTAACCCCCAATTTTTGAAATTGGGGGGTAAATAACGAGTCCAACAATTGGGGGGTAAGTCTTCGTATACCGTTGGGAAACCTGGTACCCCCAATTTTTGGACTCGTTATTTACCCCCAATTTCCAAATTGGAGGTTTATAACGAGTCGGTAAAGGGCAAATTTCCCAAAATTGGGGGGTAAACAACCAACAAAATTGGGGGTAAACTACCCGCAAAATTGGGGGTAAATAACCAAACACAATTGGGGTAAAGAACCCGCAAAATTGGGTTAAATTACCACAAAATTGGGGGTCAATTACCGACAAAATTGGGGGTAAATTACACCAAAATTGGAGGTAAATTACCCACGAAATTGGGGGGAAATTTGAGGTAAATTCGTGGTAAAGAGTTACTGCTACAGGCAAGGCTTAATTTATTTTGCTTTGGATTGGTGAAACATTATGGTTTACCCAGATTGGATGCCTTTAGAAGCTTAATCCGCACCCTCCCAAAAACGGACCCCCATATTTCCCGTTGCAGCGGTTTGATGTTTGTGGAGAAATCTAGGGAAGACGGCCTTCCCCGCCTTTCCCCGTTCCCTCGGCCCCAAGTCGTTGGCCGTGTTTTGTAAACCGCTGAGGACAAAAACGACACCTGTTGGAGGGTTGGTGGGAGACATTCCTTGCCATTGACAGAGGCAGCATTAAGCCTTTGTAAGTCATTTTAGATATGCTATGTTCGCAAGTGATGTTGGTTGCGACTCTGGCGTCAGCCACTCAAACTGACCAACCCAAGAAAGGGGCTTTCTTCCCTATGTTATGCCCATGTGTATGACTGTTGCAACAGGGCAAGCACCTCCATGGTGGTTCGAAATCCCACTCACACTGAAGGTTCTTCATTCGGGGTCCCTTGTTCCTGGCCAAAAGTCTCACTATCCTTCGGACTGTTTGGTCTCAAAGGCTAAAAATATGAATCCACAAGCCCGTGGTATGCGCCCCTGACCCATGGATTCATTGTGACGTGAATCTAGTTATTCATCCTGCCACAAATAGGGACCCATAGCCGTTGGTCGCAGATTTGTTCAGCATCGAATATGCTCAGCATTGCGTAAATTCCCTCCCTCCCCCCCCCAAAAGTCCACCAGTTAGGAGAAGGGGCCAAAGTAGAGCGGACGGCACCGTTCCATCAGGTTGCTCGGGCTTGCCACCTTTGCTGCGATCCATTGCTTGGCTTGACCCTCTTCCAGTTGCTTGGGGTGGCGCGCGGCTTGGCAGATGTTACCGTTTGCGGCCGATGAACGTGATGAATATCTAAATTGATTTGCAAAGCGTGTCAGCTTTGTTTCTGTGACTTTGACCTTTGGCCAAATTTAAATGAAGGTTCCCGGCCAACTGGCAAAAAACAATCACCCTTTCCCGATAGCTCAGGGAAGAAAGACATGACAGTTCCCAACTGTCTAGCAGCAAAGCGTCACGTTTTCGAAGGGATATACGACCAAAAGCTTTAGCAGGGAAACTTACTGCAAGGGTTTCCATGTTTCAGCTTGAACCAAGGAACAATCACAGGTGTAGCATTTGAAAGGAACCGATTTGTTCGAACCTATTTTATTTAGGGTCACCACCATGCGCTCCCAGACTCCCTGGCTGTTTTTCACCATGTGCTCCTCAGGGCTCGGTTTGCTTGCTCGAAGCACTGAGTTTCCCCCCAACCTTTTGGTCCCACGCCCGGTGATTCTATTTGTGAACATGGTTAACCAAAAGGGGGTGAAGAACCAGTCCGACACGTGGCTTATTCCTGGTCACTTCGCGTAGGAAATCAAATTTACCACCCATCCAATCGCAAACCAACAGTTAGCAACCCTGCTTCCCTATTGAAGAAAGTGGAATCAGTGGTTAGCAAGCAACCACACACTGCCCCTTCTTGCCTGTTCCAGGCGTTAGTGCAGCAACAGGGGGTTTTGCCTCCAAAGGATCAGCTTGAGGAACATGACCCCTACGATGGCTTGTTCGGTTTTGCCCAACGTACAAAATACTCTTGGAATCATAAACTGTTCTCTGTGATAGTATGTGATTCCTATGATAGTCATAGTTGACATTAAATTATTTGTATCTAAGCATATGATATTGGAGTTAGTTTATAGATTGGGGTTATGTCTGGAAGCAACGCACATTTGCATCACGAAGGTTCGCAACCTCGCCTACGAAGGTTCCTTAACATCGGGTCCCTTTGTTTTTTGTTGAGTAACTCTGATTTACTCATGTCTTTATGGGGGCAGTATCCCCTCTTAACCCAACCGGTGTTCCAGTTGGTGGTTGGGATTCTGGGTGTGAATTTGGATTGGGAGCAGTTGATGGCCTTCTCACGAACTATTGTTGCATGTGTTCCCCATTGAAATTCACGGCAATATGGCGAACTGGTGAACCCTCGTCTGGTTGGCGCTGAATGGAACAACTGAGTCAACACTTGTCCTCCGTCGCATGCTTGAAGAAGCACCCTGCAAAGCAGCTTGCAACCCAAATAAGGGTCCTACAAACCAGTCCGGCAAACAACGGAAAGCGCCTACCACGGCATGCGATGGCTTTCCCTTGTTTTCCCTTACTTTCCCTTGCCTTCCTTCGCTTGACCTTGCTTTTTCCCTTGCGTTGCCTTGCTTTCCCTTGCTTTCCCTTTCCGTTGCTTTCCCATTTCCTTGCTTTCCTTGCTGTCCCTTGCTTTCCTTTGCTTTGCCTTTCTGTTCCCGTGCTTTTGCTTGCTTTGCCTTGCTGTCCCTTGCTTTCCCTTGTTTTCGCTTGCTTTCCCTTGCTGTCCCTTGCTTTGCCCGTGCTTTTGCTTGCTTTGCCGTGCTGCCCCTTGCTTTACCTTGTTTTCCCTTGTTTCCCTTGCCTTGCTGTCCCTTGCTTTCCCTTGTTTTCCCTTGTTTTCCCTTGTGTTCCCTTGCTGTCCCTTGCTTTCCTTTGCTTTGCCTTTCTGTGCCCGTGCTTTTGCTTGCTTTGCCTTGCTGTCTTGCTGTCTCTTGCTTTCCCTTGCTTTGCCTTGCTTTGCCCGTGCTTTTGCTTGCTTTGCCTTGCTGTCCCTTCCTTTCCCTTGTGTTCCTTTGCTTTGCGTTGCTTTGCCCATGCTTTTGCTTTCTTTGCCCTGCTATCCCTTGCTTTCACTTGTTTTCCCTTTCACTTGCTTTCCCTTGCTTTCCCTTGCCTTCCTTTGCTTTGCCTTGCTTTGCCCGTGCTTTTGCTTGCTTTGCCTTGCTCTCCCTTGCTTTCCCTTGCCTTCCCTGGCCGTCCCTTGCTTTCGTTTGCTTGTCCCTGCTTTCCCTTTCCCTTTCTTTCCCTTGCTTTGCCCGTGCTTTTGCTTGCTTTGCCTTGCTCTCCCTTGTTTTCCCTTGCTATCCCTTGCTGTCCCTTGCTTTCCTTTGCTTGTCTTTGCTTTCCCTTGTTTTCCCTTTCCCTTGCTGTCCCTTGTGTTCCTTTGCTTTGCCTTGCTTTGCCCGTGCTTTTGCTTGCTTTGCCTTGCTCTCCCTTGTTTTCCATTTCTTTTGCTTGCCTTCCCATGCTTCCCTTTGATTGTCCTTGCTTTCCCTTTCCCTTGCTTTCCCTTGCTGTCCCTTTCTTTCCCTTGGTTTCCCTTGCTTTCCCTTGCTGTCCCTTGCGGCCCCTTGCTTTCCTTTGCTTGTCCTTGATTTCCTTTGCGTTGCCTTGCTTTCCATTACTTTCCCTTTCCCTTGCTTTCCCCTGATTTCCCTTGCAGTCCCTTGCTTGCTGTCCCTTGCTTTCCTTTGCTTTGCCTTGCTTTGCCTGTGCTTTCGCTTGCTTTGCCTTGCTGTCCCTTGCTTTCGCTTGTGTTTCCCTTGCTTTCCCTTGCTTTTTTGTTGCTGTCCCTTGCTGTCCCTTGCTTTCCTTTGCTTTGACTTGTTTTGCCCGTGCTGTTGCTTGCTTTCCCTTGCTGTCCATTGCTGTCCCTTGCTTTGCCTTGCTTTCCCTTGCCTGGCTTGCTTTCCCCTACTTTCGCTTCCTTTGCCCTTGCTTTCCCTTAGTTTGCCTTGCTTTGCCTTGCTCCCTTGCTGTCCCTTGCCAGCTTGACCCAAGTCAGAGCAAACCAACAACTGCACAACCCTCCTGCACTGAATAACATACAAGCAACAACCCAAACCAGCGCCCGTACTTACACACCCCGTGTCGTCTCCCTGGGACCTGCAAACCAGCCTTGCGGTGGCAGAAAGTGCTCCAAAAAATACTCCCAAAAAATGGGAGTATTTTTCCTGCGACATCCCCAGCATCGCCGACCACCACAAAAACTTCCAAAACAAGCGACATCACCTGCATCCCCGGCATCCCCTGCATCCCCGGCACCCCTTGTGTGCCCAAGTCCGGCGAGGCCGGAAGCAAAGTAACATGATGTAAAACTGGCACGCTTTTTGGCCCGCGAGAGCCACAGACGAAAAGGTCAGACATGATAGGCAGCGTCGACGAGAAAGCGCGAAAAACACAGGGAAAAACACCAAAAACCAGCCTTGCGGTGGCAGAAAGTGCTTCAAAAAATACTCCCATTTTTTGGGAGTATTTTTCGGCTGACCAGACCTGCAAATCACCCGGAACGAGGTTACCCCCCCCACCCCCACACCCCCCCCCCCCCCCACAACTTCGCACACTAACTCCCAGCGCTTCAAGAAGCGCTTTCCGTCACCAAGATTCCTCTGAAAATGGCGACTTATTGGGTTTCATGATCATTTGCGGAGGAGTACATGAAACCTTATGTTCAGCTCCCCGTTTTAATTCATGGTATTCCCCTGAAATGCATCATCTCGTTTCATGTACTATAGGGCAACTGAATTCACTGGGATGGGATGAGGCAAGTAATGCCATGTAGCTGATGCATATCTCTCTTTTCCTCACGGTTGCGGTAAGCTGTTTGCACTTTTGTTATTCCTTGAGGGCACCAGGCGTCAACGAGGTCCCAATACGGCCGCGTATTATAACAACCTGTAACTGAAATGACTGAAATTCCAGTCATCGAACCCGAATTTTCCATTTAAGGTGTGGCCATCTCCTTGTCCCAGGCGCCTTGGGCTTCCTTCGTCCGCACTGGGCTTTTCGCATCCGGGCGCTTCGCCGGCTCTGCGTGGTCGCGCGCGCCTTGCACCGGCGGCTCCTGTGGTGAACTTTGCGCAGCTGGGGAGCTCCTTGGAGCGCGAGCTCACCGATCCGGGAAAACGAGCTGAATCTCTTGCTTCGGACTGTTGGAATGATTGCAAACCAATGCAGATCATTGATCCTTATGCCAGGTGGTGATTTGCCGTCCCACTACGGATTGTGGATGCGGATTATCGGGCCATCCGATTTTCAACAGCCTTGGTTAGGCTGGTTCCTATTGAGAGGAAAAACAACAACCAACAGGAGACTTGTGGGGCCTTCCATTTGTGCCAACTGTACTTGGACAGATTAGAAAGATCTCTGGAACGAGATCGCCCATGATGCAAGTTCCTTGTGCAAATGATTGCTGTCCGGTGATTGACTTTTCGAAAATGCACGACCCTATGCTCAAAACACCAGTCGCAGTTTTTGTGCGAGCAGGAAGTTAGCAGGACTACTCATCAACCATGCAACCGCTTGATTCGGAGTTTAGACAAGCATTGTAAGGGCTCCGAGTGAGAGAATCATGACCAAGGCTCACATGCGGGGGTTGACCATTGATGCACAGATGAACCCCCGGAATTCACTCTATGTTTTTTGCTAGATTGGCATAAATTGTGGCAAACGTGTTGACTCATTATTTTCTAAGATAGGGACCCTCTTGTTGTATTTAGCCGAAAGTCAGGATGTGTGTGTGTGTGTCACCCCCGTGCTTTTAGCTACCACTGTTACTGTTTGGCGGGAAGCCTACATTTCGGTCAACGTTTAGTAGCATCTTACATCTTTGAGCATCTTACATCCTTGTCTTCTCCTGAAATGGAGGGACTGAATGTTGACGACTATATTGCATACCTCTAGGTCTTATTTGATGGCCAACCATGAGTTTGCAGTATCTAGACTCTAGAGCCCTTGAAATCCATCCGGATCATCAGAGTGCTGAATACCCATGAGCCAAGTTCAGACGTGCCTGGGTTTCAAGAAGCACCGTAAGCCACAACTTTTCTTTGTTTGGTCAATACGTCTGGGCATATATAGAGATCTTACATATGGGCGACCTCACCCATCGTGAAGCTTGCTTACTTGAAGATTCCTCACATGTATTGAATTTGTTTGGGATGCTGGTTTGGGTTGTACAGGCGTGCCCTCAAATCAGGAAACCGCTGTTGGATTCTGGTGGGGGGATCGTGCGTCTTGTTGCGTGTTCCTTCGAACATCGGCCACCAGCCAAAGGACTTGCGTTCCTTCGCTTTTTGGCAAATGGGTATGTTTGTTTGTCGGGGGACTTTTTTGCAGTTTTTGCCAGGGACACCAAAGGGAAGCCACTCATTGGTGGGGTTCTCAATTTTGACGACATACATATATATATATATATTATGTATATATATATACACTGATATATATATATATATATATGTATAAACTGATATATATATATATTGTATTTAAATATATATATATA